ATATATATATATATATATATTCAGCGAATTGTCCAATGAATCATGCTCGTCTACTCAATTCAGTGTTCCTGGAACGCTCTTTCCATCCCGACTACCCCAAACAAAACAAGCGAACATCAGTGGCCCAAATTCGAAAACTCAAGGTATCCGAACCCATGACAGAACTGTTCCCACTGTGGCGCAGTATGGATGACCTTTCAATTTCAACGAAACAAGACTTCGCTACCCAAGACCACACAGTCTTGCAAACGCGTGCGGTTATCCTTTTCCACTGCCCTAACTATCGCTGGATAGGAGAAGCAATTAACTTCAACCAATTCCTTGTCATCTAGTTCAGACGGAAGACTAGTTAACATTCAGTCTCACACTATAAGTGTCAAGTGCGCCTCTCGCGTCCTTCATACACGTCATACACTTTTCTCCAGCTGCCTATTCGAAATCAACATTTTGGCGACCACTTTGTGCATCCTTCAGTACTTTATCTTGGACGAAATTCAATAGGAACGACGAAATAGGATATCCTTGACAAACACCGCTGCCATTTGCGAACCATCCCCTAGGTGTAGGCGAGTAGAGTGACCTCATTAAATTGAAATACTTTCGGTACATTTCCTTGCGAAGCAGTGAAACCGCTAAGGCTTCTCGATCAAATGAGTCGAAGGCTCCGTTTCAGGTCAGGGAATACAGTGATCGTTGGTCGATGATGTGTGTGTGGCGTAATTCGAGAAGTTGATGCAAGGTGAACATTTGGTCGATGCACCCACGACCTGGTCGGAATCGTGCTTGCGGTTCACGAATACCAGTCTGTCTTTAAAGGCGTCAGGTGGCGAATTAGCAGAAGAGTTACCACTTTGATGGAGACCAGAGCAAAACCTATCCAACAGTGGTTTGAAAGTCATTGCATGATCCCTTTCCAAAAAGTCCAAACAATCAATAAATAAATTGTGCAGGACAAGTGGATACGTTTTTAAGACTATGCAGAGCGTAGGGAATTAGTAATAGAGTCGACGACAGTCACCTCATTGCACCATCATGTAAAAAGAATGGAGAGAAGCCCATCAGGTTGGTTGTCATTCCTTTTTTAATTGATTGAAGGGATTACATGTTATTATGCAAGGAGCTTTGACCGCAAATACGGGAATAAACGGGCTAGCACCAGATCAGCTGAACTGTTCCTTAAAACAATTGATCCATCGATCAAGTAGCTGTTCCTTTTTGTGACTGTCTTGTCCAATTTTATATCAAATGGTTTTTCTGTCAGGAATAGGACGAACTGTGGTGCCGAGAACCAGGTAGAACAGTCTGTCACTACTCTCCGATGCAAAGACTACTTCCACTTCACCAGTTTTCACGAAATTTCTAAGGGCTTTTACTTAGCTAACTTTGTAGATACTGTAATTATCGTACAACGTGTGGAATACCAAACGTCTAATTCACTCATTCAAAGATTTCAGGCATTTACACTTACGTAAGCTTTGCAAATAGAAATACAAGAATCAATATTTGTGGACCGTTGGTTTATGTTATCGGTAAGTGCTGTTTTTTGAATGGAATTGTGGGAGTTCTTCTTCTGGTCTAATAATGTGCCCTCGTGTGGAGGAGGAAAGTGAAAACCACTTGGTGATTAATCTTGTTTTGCATCACCAAAATAGGGATGATCAGATGGACAACGGAGTGGTGCATCAAACCCGCATTCCTACTCCGCCCGGTTCGTGGCGTTTAGTGTAATGGAAAGACACAAGCGAACTACTAGACAAGCGTTAGAAAACTCGGATTGAGGGAACCTATCCCCTCACGAGCACAACAGACACGAGGTAATAGTAGGAGAGTTTGACGTTTGTTGATTAAGAGTCAGACAAGAGGAACACAAACAAGACAGAAATTATGGACAGTGGAGGACGGAACACGCACACACACACACACACACACAAACTGCAGATGACAGTCAAGATCAAGTGAATAGTGGGATAAAGGAGACAGATATGTAGGCGTGTGTCTGCCATCATGTAGAGCACAGCGTCTGCTCAACGTGCGTGGTTCATTCTATACCAATTTGTTAACCGTTAGGACAGAACAAACTGAGCGTCACTTTACAGCCCGGTTTACTCGCGAAGACGCGAAAAGCACCTGTCAAGAATAATATTTACAAAGTGAATGACGGATGAGATATGCCCAAACCACGACGCCTCCAGTACAGACATTCTAATGAACAGCTGTCGCGAATGACGTAGTATCCATTGGATGGCAGTCTGAGGAGCGATCGAGGGAGGAGCACATACAACAGATATCCACTGACTCTAAAACATGCAACTTGACATGGGTAGGAAAACCCCCCACGAGACGATCTATAGCCCACCAGCCGAAGGAATGTGGTCCGGAGGAGAGTTATCTTTTCCACATTCATGAATGGATTCTTGGTGAACAGAACGCTAACCAGGTAGGTTAGAGCGCTGAAAGTTGGTCGAAAGATGCGTCAAAATACCGAGATGTTGACATGACCCAATTTTTTTGCGACTGATATCAGTTTCTTACGTATTACATCCCCTGTACGACATTTTAAGTAAGTATTTCATCATATCTGGTCTCAATTTTAATCCCGAAAGATGCCTGGGATGTATTTTTACTCCAAACCGTTCCCATCGCCTTTCTACAATGTGCAGATTCAGAGAGCCGGTGAGCACGGTCAGTCATATGAAGTACTAGGATGTTACAATCGAAGGCAACCTTCGCTGGTCTTCACATATCCAAACTATTGCTCGCAACCCGAAAGTTCTCTCCTTTAGGAAAAGAAGATTGCGTCACTTATGTTCTAATTTGTCGTTGATAGGAGCTTTGTTCCCATACCTTTTAACTGTTCCTGCGATTTCGTCTGGTTCGCTCAAGGTCGAGTACAAGCTGCTCACTGATCAGCCGTGTTTCCCAACTTCCTCCACTTGTTCTGATAGACAATATCAGTGATGCTCATAATGATGCGTGCTTGAAGTTTGCTGACAATACTTAATCCGATTGAACCCAACCTTAACACATTGATCTGTGTACATGCGATTCCCAATCCCACTCCACAGGCTCGGAATACAAACTCATCCCATCTCGAATATCTGCCTACAGAAACTCCCAGGTACTCTATCTTGCCCGGACACTGGCTGAAAAGGAGTATTTGCCCTGAGCCTTCTAATAGATTTAGCAGTTAATTCACATTCTTGCACGCTTGATGTCCCAAAATTTCCCTCTATTTGGCCGGTATTGTGACGTTGGTGTTTTTTGGGGGTGAAAGCTCGTATATAACTTGCTAAAAAATCAATAGAATAAAATACAATATAACGAAAACAGTAGGAAATAAATATTTTGAATCTTTTCATCATGGACTTTCCTCTGGATCATCAGCAGAAATTTAAATAGCATGGTGTATTTCGGCCCCAAGTCTGCCGCTGAACTCGTGTAAACGAAACATTTTCTAAGGTGAAAAAGTTAACTTTTCCAGGCATGGAACTTCGTTCTCTGAAAGTGCATTAGCAGGTTACAGCAAAATTTCGTTCTCCACTGGACCTACCAATCCCAAATAACTAGCCTCGGTTTGCTCTCCAAGAATTCTAATCTGGTTAAAACGCTTTTTAAAAAGGTATCCTCCAACCTCCAACATCTTAGGTATAGTCGGGGGGGGGTGTCTCGGATTGCGGCTGGTCACCCTTCCCCGTGCACCTGCGCGAAATGTCCCCATAGGACCAAGTGTCTCGAATAGCATCTGCTGTGGAAACCTTGCTCACTACTTTGTGGGGCGAGGGTGTTTGCCTACCAAATT